CACGGAATAGGAAGAAAGGACAGAGGGGCAGGCCCAACAATGCACACCTTCCAACCCAGCTCCTAATTCTATAACATAAGAATTAAGAGTCAAAGGAAGAGCTGGGCTGGGGAGATGGTTCACTGGATAAGAGCACTAGCTGCATATATACATTCCTTACACACACACACATACACACACATCAGGACCTGGGTTCGAATCCTCAGCATCCACAAAAGCCAGGCTTGTCTGCACATGCCTGTTAACTCCAGCATTGGCAGGTAAAGACAGGCAAATTCTGAGAGCTCACTGGCCAGACAGCCTTGACAGAATGGTGTCTCAGGTCCAGTGTGAAATGTGGTCTTAAGGGATGGTCGTAAAGTCAAAAGTAAGAGATACAAGAGGACTCCTAACCCTTCCTCTGGACACACATGCACATACACATGCACACACATACACACATACATACTCACTAAAAGGAACAAATACCTTCTCCTTGTGTATAGGTAAGCAAGAAGCTGCATTTTTGTTCCTTTTTAAATAATAGGAAGTACAATGTTACCAGAAGTTTGCTATTCCCGACTGAATCATACCCTCTCTTCTTTTCTCCCACATTCTCTCTCTAGGAGAAAAATAATGATGGTGTTTTATCCACTAATATCTATTTCCTTGGTCCAATAAAAGAATCTCTGGATTTCCTAGGAACCAAGTAATTACTCAAAGGAAACTGTGTTTCTGTGAGGCCATTTCCAGAGACAACTGGTACACATGTCCCCATTCTTGTCAGTGGAGTCATACCTCGAGGGATTTGTAATGTGATGACATTTTAGGGTGGTGGTGAACAGTGGAGTGGTAGGGCCTTTGAAGGAAGGGGGTCACTGGGATGTGTCTGTAGTGATCATGCGGTCCCTGGTGCCATCCAGATTTCTTGCTTTTCTCTACTTCCTAGCCACCATGGCGGAAGTGTCCTGCTGTGCCTTTGTCTGCCATGATGGATGGACACTTCTGAAACTGTGAGCCAAAATAAGTCCCTGCCCCGTGGGTTTCTCTTGGATACTTTGTCACAGCACACAATGACATAAACACAAAGGCCAGGTTATTCCCCGCTGATGCTCCTGGGACAGTTTCCATCATTTGCCACTTCACACAAAAGATCAGCTCAATTTAGCCAAACAGTTTACCTTTTTTTTCTGGTTTTATGACTACCTTACAGCCCAGCACATTTTCACCTTAAATGAACATTTCTCTTGTCTGCAACCAAAGAATTGTAACGCTTTTAAAAATTGTTAAACTGTTCATTTATAAGCCTAAAACTTTGCTACCTATTCTGTCAAAGATGTATACATGCAGAGAAGTCTGCCAGATTTATTGGCATGTGACCTACAGCCTAACTCTAAAGCTGGAACAGAGTAAGAAATTCCATCCTGGCTGGGTCCTGATAACAGGATAGGGAAGCAGCTATTGGTAAGTGAGGGTAACTCTTCCCTAACTTACCTACCACAAAAATACCTGGACACTGGAACTAGTTACTGTTCTGTAGCTGTGATGGGTATCCTGACACAAGCAATCCAGAGAGTAGAGTCTATGTGGCTGACAATTTAATGTCCATCATTTGGGCATGATCAAAGCAGGAACTCAAAGCAGTTAGTCTCATCCACAGTCAAGAGTACATCCTTACTTGCTCTCCACTAGCTCTGTTGTAATACTGTTTAAGACCCCCTGCCTAGGGAATGGTGCTGCCCATAATGGCTCCATCTTCCTAGATCAATTCACAACCAAGACAATCTGCCCTCCCCAAGGCATATATACAAAGCAACCATGATCTAAGTAATTTCTCAGTAAGATTCTTCTACCAGGCAAGCCTAGGTTGTATCAAGTTGACAGTTAAAGCTAACACATTTTAGTTACCAGATCCCACACAGCCCAAAGGACAAAAGCAGGTCAGAGATTACCAACTTGGTTTGACTACTGAATAATGTGTCTGTCTGTGTTGTCACCATCCCCAGAGTCCTCTGATAAGGGAACTTAAATTCTCAGCTCATCTTCCTTTTTCAAACTTTTAGACCCCAGTAATTATATTGATCAAACTATTATTAACAACACTGACCATCATCACCTAGAAAGTTGTGAGTCAAAATTCTGGGTGGCTTCTATCATTCTTTTTTTTTTTTTTTTTTTGAGACAGGGTTTCTCTGTATAGTCCTGGCTGTCCTGGAACTCACTCTGTAGATCAGGGTGGCCTCGAACTCAGAAATCCACCTGCCTCTGCCTCCCAAGTGCTGGGATTAAAGGTGTGCGCCACCACCACCCGGCTGGCTTCTATCATTCAAACCATACAATAATCGTTGGTGGTTGACACTGTAATTACACCTACTTTCAAGATGCAAAGATCAGGGTTTGGGATGTTAAGGCTTACTGTAAGTTAGAAGTAAGTGAAAGCCAGAGCCAAGACCCAACTCAGGCCTCTCTGACTTCTGAAACAACACCAATAAAAGTAAATTTCCACTTCTGGGCCAGAAATCAGAGTCTGGCTAATAGTTTAAAAAAAAACATTTAAAGGCTAGTTTCTCATGCCAAAATGTCACTCTAGGGTCAAAGTGCCTACAAGGCTGCCTGGATTCACCAGCATTCTCCTTGAGTTGCTTCTTGAGATACCATTGCCCTCTGTGTGCTGGAGAATGTTCTCTTAATGAAAGCGGAAGTGTTTTTGGGTGACAGTGAAAACCAGAGACTTCACTCCCTGCAATTAACATCACTCTGGCCTTGCCAAAGTCTTAACACTCATGGGATTCACCACACCTGAGGTAGCACCTCAGGATCTCAAACTTTGCCCTTAGCAAGCTGTTCCAGCTTACCAGAGAGAGCGAAAGCAGGCAGGCAGTATAAGGTTAATTTGACCCTTAGAAATCCTTTCTGGGCTTTCAGATGTAAGGAAAGCCTCCAAGTCTGTGGGGATAGGATGTAAAACACTGATACGGTGCACACTCACTGGCCCGGAGTTTAGCGACAAGCTCATAATTATTCAAAAGGTGCTTTCTTCACTGTGATGTGCACAGCCCGTATTTTATGGACTACCAATACTATATTTTAAAATCTTAAAACTAGAGGAACCTGAGCAAAATGTTTATATGACACTCTACTTTTAAAACTTTCCTGCAAGTCTAAAATAATTTCAAATTGAAAGACTTTGAAAAAAAATCCAAATGACCAAAAGGATAATAGATTCGCTACAACAGTGTCCTGAAGGGTATCGTTCAGACTGTGTGGCTAGTAGGATGTAACTGAAGGGAGGGGCGAACTCATTTTCCTCAGCCAAGTACTACTCACAGCATGGTTCTGAGCTCCTCTAGGCCAAGGTCACAAGAGGGGACAACTTGACCTGCTCACCAAGGCCTTTGTCAGAAAGAAGCAAAACAAGGAGCTACTTCACACCACTTCATACCTGGAGGTTACGGAGGCAGAAGATAAGAAACAGGATGTTGGGAAGAGGGTGAGGAGGAAACGAGAAATATCCCTGTTACTCATACGGGATCAGAAGAAAGATTTACACACTTGTATGAGTAACTTTTTAACACAGGGGATAAAAAAAAACAATCCATTATACAAATAAGTTTTTCTTCAAAGTTTCATAAACAACAGCTAAAGAGTTATCAGGCACAAAAAGAACATTTCTAAAGACTTCTAAAATCAGGAAAAAAAGATACTCAGTGCCCTTGGAAAATTTGGTGAGAAGGTTTTGAGGTCGGGTGCTTTAAATCAAGATCGGCTTTCAAGGATTTGCAGGTCTCTTACTTATAGAATATTTTCAATCTTTGGTTTAAGACTAGAACAGAAGAGGTCTACCCAGTTTGGACCCTCTTCAGACATGAGGAAGAAAGCCGTAGAAAAACAGGTGAGGAGATACCACAGTTCTGACTGGTACAGAGACAGAGCCCTTTAGTAAAAGCTTGATGAGAAAGCAAAGGAAGCTAGGTGGTAGATTTAGGGTCTGCTCTGACTCATGGAGCTGCTGGAAGATTTTTTTCATGGGTAGCTGCAAGAGAAGAACCAGGTAGCACTCCTACAGGAGAGAAAGCACTAGAAACATGAGACAACTCTTAGATTAAAAACAAACAAACAAAAAGGCAAAATTCAGGCCAGCAAGATGGCTGAGTAAAGGTACTTGGGGTCAAATCCCCAGAACCCACAAGGTAGCAGGAGAAACCAACTCCTGAAAGTTGGTCTAAGTCCACATACGTGTCGTGTCACACACACACACACACACACACACACACACACACTCCAGTATTCTAACCCCTTATTTCAGAGACTATGATGACATGTGATATATGATTTTACATCCAGCAATACATGGCTAATTAGGAATCATCCCCCATGTTACTTTTTCAATAAGACAATGGAGGTAAATTATCCAAGAATAAAGCACAGCCCTGAGGCAGAATCAAAACAAAGTCAATGAGCCAAGCGTGGTGGTACACGCATGTAATCCAGGCATTTGACGGATGGAGGCAGGAGATCCAGTGTCCAAGGTCACCCTCCACTACATAGAGAATTTAAGGCCACCCTGGGCTACATAAGACCCTACCTCAAAAGAAATCAAAAGCAAGCAAACAGAAACAGCTTTCATTGCTCCTTCAAAGCTGTATTTTCAAGGCTGTGCCCACTTACATCTTACTAGTGGTGTCGTAGTATAGAGGAAGAATTAAGTAAAGAATTTTTTAAAATTCCAATTATCCTCATGATGAATGCAAAGAAAACATTGTAGGCCAGCTCATTGCATTGCACATGACATGGAGTCCTACCCATCTTACCCCAACAGCCTCGTAGGCTACAGGCCATACCATCCAAGGTTTCTTCCATTTATATTCAAGTAGAATAATTAAGTCAGACACCAGTAGGTCTTTCTACTCAAAACCAGGATTTGCTAAGAAAAAAAAATTGTAATTCGCCTTCAAATTCATCAAAAGCAAAAGCAGTCATTAAGGTTTGAAACGTAACAGCCACCTTCCCCGACTCTCAGAATGGCTAGCGAGGAGGACCACGTAGACGGGGAGCGAAGGTTAGCACAGCTGATTTCTAGGTTCAGAGAAGGAAGCCACATAATTTAAGACAAACACCTGGAGAAGGGGGTAGGGAGTAGTATTTTGTAGTCAAAAAAAAAAAAAATAGTAGGCAGACATGCAGCAAATCACATCCACATCACTGGGGTACTCAATTATCTGAACACACTAATTAAGTAAGTGTAATCAACGGGCTTTCAGTCCTCTCCTTGCCTGGCGTATTTTTCTAGAGCATCGCTTTTCTCATTCCTCATAGCGGGCAGACCGTTAGACGGTCTGCATGGTGCAGCAGAGGGAAACAAACACGCACAGATTTTTTTTTTCTTTTTTGCTGATGGCAGGAGTTTCTTCTCAGGCTCAGGGCAGAGGAACCCACACTATGGTGAAGGCAGCACCGGCTGTAGATTTTAATTACCCTCCTCACCAATTTTGCAGAGGAGACGTAAAGTTCAATTAGGTAATACGATGCTCTGTTAGGGTGTTTTCATAAAACTGGGCACAGGCTTTCAAGTAGTAAATATGCAGCCGTGACAGGATTAAATATTCATGAAATCAAGATAATCTGGAAGGCTGGGGATATCAGACTATTAAAATTCATATAGTTTTCACAATGTAAATCTTGTATCCACTTGTAAGGTGCCCCGTTCTGATCTGGTTTGGAGTGTGTTCAGATACCAACTCCTGTGTAGCTTACCATTTTAATAACAATATTGATTTTTGTGGATAAACGACAACCCCGATTCTTACCTCAGGTTTCAAAATGCAGAAACAATTTTAAACATTTGCAAATCCAAACTTAAGGATCCGCCTGCTGACGAAGAACAGCAACACGCCATGTGATCCCAACATGCATTAGCTATCTGTTTAATCTACTGGCGTTTTAGCAAAGGTCCAAAGGAAAATCAAGGTATTCCCAAGGAGGAGCATTCCGGGAGATGTGGGTCGCTTCTACCTAATAGCCGTGCCTGTCTGCCTGTACGCTTCCTTGAGACAACGTGGAAATAAAGTACATTGACTCTTCTTGGGTTCCAATATTCTGATTTGCTGAACCAACTTTCCCCCAATATTAGCAGTAGCTTTCAAAATGCTTTAACAAACACACGTGCGCACTTGATACCGATGGAACTAAACCACTGGCTTCCACCAAATTCAACTCGGAGCGTGGGTAGAGACAGAAACCTCAGAGACAGAACTCTCTGGATATTACCGAAGCATCATCTTCGGTACCATTTCCCCTACTATACAATTTTCTCAGCAGAGGAAACATCAGCACCAGAGAATGACATCTCAACCATTTCTTACTCCAATTCAATTACCTAAAGAACTCCACACAGTCAGGCGCAGGTCTCCCCTGGTCTACAATGACACAGCAGGGCTGCAAAGGACTCCCGGGGTTCATCTGCTGCCAGGCACTGGGTCTCTGCCCTCCTGGAGAGGAGGGTGCCCACTGAGAAGGACCACCTCCAGCCTAGAGCTCCGGGAAGCAAGGCTGTCCAATCTGAAACAAGCCAAACTTTGCTCTCATCAGTAGGTGCATGTCACCTCCCCTCCAAGAGTCTAGGAAGCCGCTTGCCAGGTCTTAAGGCACACTTCCCTTAGACCCACAGCATCTAAAGGCGAAGTCTCAGCACTGCCCCGCCCGCGGGTTCAGCCCTGCCCTCAGCCTCGCATCGCGTGTACCACGACTTCCCCTGCACACATCACTGAACACCGAAACCAGAGCAGACTTCTTTCTGCACACGCCTTCTTCCAGTTGAGAAACTCACTACCGGCGTGGATTCCTTTAAATCCCACGCCTTCTCCAATCTGCCACCCCACCCCCCACGCAAACGAGGTAAGGGGGTTGGGAGCGGAGGGGTTAAAGAGACGGCCACTACTAGTCCTCCTCCGTCTGGTTCAAAAGATGTCAGGCGGCCACACCGCGGACCTTACCTTGCTCTCCCCCCTCTCGCCGTTGGGTCTCGCCTCCGGATCGTCGCTGTCCTCAGCGCCCGCACTCTCGCCGGGCACTTCATCCTGAGCCAGCTGCTGCTGGGGCTGCGGCTGGGGCTGGGGCGGCTGTGGCGGCGCCTGGCAGGCTCCGCCAGCCCCCTGGGAGCGGGGGATGGGCTCCGGGCGCGGAGAAACTCCCTCCACATCCATCTCCATCTTCCCATTCACTGGAGGGCAAGACAAAAGCGGAGCGGAGACTTGGCAGCGGCGCCCGGCGGCTCCTCAGCGGCCCGTGGCACGCATGGCTCGCCGAGGAGGGGCCGCCTCGCGCGCGCCCTCCCTCCTGCCACCCTTCGCCCGCACTCCCCGCGGCTCGGCTCCGGCGCTGCGGGGCGTCTGGGCCCGGGAGTCCGCGAGGAGCGGGTGGCCGCGTGTCCTTGGAGCGCTGGCCTTCAGGCGCCCCCCGGCAGTCCCGCTACACCGAGCGCATCCTGGCGGTGGCAGGGCGCCTCCCAGCCGCGCGCCCCAACCAGCCCTGGGGACAGCCCCAGGGACTTGTTCTCCTTATCCTCGATCCCAGATCCGAGATCCTCGATCAGCCGGCGTCTCCCGCCCCACCCCCTGAGTGTATCACCTCCCTTCCAACCTTTTGAACAAAGTTACTGGAAGAACAAACCAGATGGGCCGGGTTTGCCTGTCAGCGCTGACAGGGATAGGGAATGTCAGGTGTAAGTAAGATCTCTTACCCCCAGCTGCTGACCAGGCAGCAACCCTATCTGTGGCTCCCTTCCCAGTGCAGAGGAACCAAAGAAAGGAGGGTGTTCCAACCTATGAATGAGGGTGTCAGGGAACACTAGAAGAGGGGTAAGGGGAAGGCTGGTGGCTGAAGAGACCACTCCAATCCCAGGTGACTATCACCTCTTGACCCTTGTTTTCTCTCCTCTAGCCACCAACAGTGTCTGGAGGACCATTCCCTCCCTGTGTGCCTGCATGTGGCTCCCAGAGCCCAGCACCCTGGGTCTGCCCTGTCACTGATGGCTCTGTGCAGGAGTGCAGCCCTCTACTAGAGACCCAGAGCACAGAAACAGCCAAGACCAAATTCCAGGCAGGAAACAGGCCTAACAAGACTGTCCTTGTCTTGGGCACATCACGGGTTAAAACTGGGGAGGGGTGGGGCTCCACGGAAGAAAAGGATGCAGGGATCCTGACCAGCCTCATAGTGCTGAGTTTGGCACCAAGGTCTGCCTGGAGGGTCAGTGGAGGAGGAGGGGAAGTGCGGTGTATGTAGCTGCCAGGCTTTTACTGCAACGGGCCCTGGGGTGGGTGCCAGCTGGGTGCCTGCTCTCCCAAATGGCCAGTCCTCTCAAGCAAGCTGGGTATATTTTATAAGAGGTGAGTTCGGGGCAGGCAGTGAAGTGCTCCGTAAATACAGAGTTGGCAAGAATGCACCTGGACTGTCTTAAATTGGGACTCCCAAGTCAGTCACCTTTATCAACCCTGTGCTACTCACAAAGAACTCAAGTGTTCCTGGGATAGTATCTGTGGTTCTGAGCCCAGAAGTGCCAAAAACTCATAGGCTGAGCCAATAGACTAGGCTTCTATTTCCAAGGACTGAGAACTGGAGGTGTATGGATAGTGGGAGGCCTACCACTCTGGGCTTTCATTCCTAGTGGCCTGACCCGAGCAACTAGTATCATCCTTGGCATGTAGAGTTGGAACTCACCAACCTTGAGTGTGGGGAGAGCCTGGGAGAAATCTGAAGCTAGGGGTAAGACTCCAGAGCAGATTCCAGGCCCTCACCTTCAGGGATTGGAGCTCCTGGAGATGTTCCAGCAAGTGGCCATGCCCTTCTCTTCAGCTCCCCAGAGGTCTCTCCACTTCTGCTACCCACCATCCTCTCTCTCCTCTCGTGCCAAACTCAACATCTGCCTTGAAACTGATGAGGGGCTGTCACTGACTGTTGCTATCTCCTCTGGAAGTGACAGACAAGACTCACTCCAATCACAATAAAGAGCACAGGTGGGTAAGAAAAGAGCCCTTGGCAGAAACCTTTTACTGGGTCTAAAGCTGTAACACCAGCGTGGGTGAGCAGAGAGGGACTCCAAGCTTCTTACCAAACCAGAAAGGGGGTGTGGCCAGACTGTAGCATATAAAGGCGGCATTGTAATTGACACCAATAATAGCCTCCAAATCACAAACATTCTGTAGAGATGACCAAGGAAGTCCCCTCCCTGTCCCCAGTCAGAACAGCTGTGGGTAAGCATGGTTTTCTAGAGTTCACCCGGGTTTGTGTTGAAGTTGGTGTCTTCTTGCCCTCCTGTAGGTTTTTAGGAATGGATTGTAAATTCTCCCTGGAAAAAAGGTCTCCTAAAGAGGGGAGTAGTATCTTTTGTAGCATCCATGGTTGATGTCAATGCACAGCCCAGCTGCTCAGTCACTGTATGAAGACTGGACAGTGTCAAAGGTAGCGTGGGAGCTGTCTGTCCAACCAGCTGCCAATGGTCTGTGCTCAAGGCCACGGGGACTATGGGAAGAATGTGTCAGCTGCCACTTCAGGGACCCAGTGATCTGAACATGAAAGGTAGGTTACAATAAAGACTTAACCAAAGGTCCATACCAAGCTTACATTCCCAGGGGCATTTAGCAGGGAACAGGTAAACAGGGTCCTAGGTTGGGTTGGGTCAATCCGATCTCTCTGAGTAAACAGAGTGACTACTGCAGTTACCACTTGGTCTGGGAGTAGTTAGGGCGTGTGCTGTGGGACTTGATCAGCAACTTTGCATATATTTCCCCTGAAATAGCAGTGAGGAGAAGGAAGTTATGGAGAACCTGACTAACATTAAGTAGTCATTTGTTCTTGGTTTTAAGTTCTAAAATGCCCCCTATTGATTGGAAGATAAATGAAATGTCCACATGTTTTCTAGTAGAGAGTAGCCTTTCCCTCAACACAGAGTGTAGACTACATAATGTGTACCTGACAGAACTGGGAAGCAGCACTGCCTACCTGGCTGCTCTGCATTGCCTGACACGAGCAAGTCTGTAAGTCACACCAGGTGCATCGGTAGAATCTATCCTTGCCTTCTGTCTCTTACTCTCCAAGATTTTACACCAGTATGCAAGCATTTGATGACTGCTTTAGTCAGTATAGACAGGAGAGGGGAGGCAGTGTGGACCAGCTCTGAGAAAGGAGAGAATCTGGAGGATGGCTTTACCAAATCTCCGTTTTTGGGTTTTTATTTTTGTTATTTCTAAAAGCTACGTTTATTTTCTAAATTAAGGATTCATCCAATGACACAATGAGTTTATTTATCCTTGACTTTTAAATGACATTATGACCCTGAGTGTTGTTATGAATGAACCCAGACAGTCAGGCTGGGGCCTGCGAAAAGACTCTGCGAGTAAACGCTCCCACTGCCAACTGTGAGACTACAAATCCAGTCCCAAACTGTGATAGAACAGAACCCCCAAAGAGTTGTCCTCTGACCTTCTAACATCTGCTGTGGCACACCTGTCCCCACTTCCAAAATATTTATTGCAAAATTAAAAAAAAAAAGAATAAGAAAGCAGAGCTACGTTCCTTTGAGGGTGTTCCTTGCCCCCATTTCTTCTCCAGCACCCACTAATAAACCAAGAGTTCTTACAGGGATTTTATTAAGGTAAATTAGATTATCTGTGTAATGTGCTTAGAAAATTACATAGCACACGGCCTTGTCTGTTGAGCTGGGAGCAGGGAAATGATAGAAATTCTCCTTGAACACAGATCTGAAGACCTTGGTTCAGGAGGAAGTAAACACAGAGTTAGAACCACTTGATTTCTCTGCCAGACAATTGGCATCATCAGAGAAGAGGGAGGGACTCGACCGTGTTGTGTGAGAAACTTTTGAATTTGACAGATTTTTCCTTCTGTACTGCAGAAATAAAAATCACATGTCAGTTCAGACAGGAGCCGGGAGAGCTGTTAAGTTAATATTCTTCCACGCTTGTTACTTCCAAAATGTGTTTGTGAACTTTTTTCAAGGCTTAGATGAAGATTAAATAAGAAAGAAAGATAAAATACTGCAACTAAATGTGTTCTAAATTTAGGCACGTGCTTTTAAAGGTTCCTATTGTTCGATGTGAATATTATTTTCTTTCTCTTGCCCCTGTAACTATTTGGGGGGCATGTATGTCTTTTAGCATCTGTCATAAGTAAATATGGACTCAGAAAATATATTACATTTCAGAACTGTTGATTGCACCTAATTATGCATGTAAATTGCTACTCTAAGCCTGCAAACAGCTTGCAACATTTAGAAAATTTTTGCCCTACTAGTCGTCTGAGGTGTTTGTGTAGTGCTTCGTGTTGCCTGAGATGACACTTTACGTGCCTGTTAACTGCCCATTAATGATGAATCTCAGTAATTTTTACCTTTTGCTGTTTCTCTCTTGGAAGACTAGGATTTGTGGATTGTCACTTATAATAAAATGTACTTTCTTCTGATTGACACCTGAACATTTGATCTTTTCTTGACTCACTGAGACTATAGAATGTCCTCAGAATACAGTTGGTCTAGACTCTCATTCCTCAAATAATAGTCAGTAAACTGATAGCAACCAACCAACCCTTCAGGAGTTTGAAAGAAATGGGGTTTTGGACCTGCCGTAAGTCAGCCACTAAGAATTTGCATCTAACAAGATCTGCCGGTAATTCCTACCAACTGTGGGTTTAAGGAGAACTGTCTGACATATCTGTCCTATGGCTCTTCCCCACTTATCTGTGGCACGAACAGTCATTCTCCCAGACTGCCCAGGAAACCCTCATTAGGAAGGCTCAGTGTGGGACTGTGAGTTGCTCCATGGGTAAAACCACATGCCTAGAAAGCCTGGTGACTGAGGCTGATCCGGGAATCCAGCCATGTAAGAACACCACTGCCAACATGGTCTTCTGACCCCTTGATGCACAGCATTGTACACAAACATCTGTGTACACACATACACTGACACACACAGACACAGAGACACTCATATACCGAGACACACACACAGAGAAAGACACACAGACACAAATAGAGAGAGAGAGAGAGAGATACACATACACCAAGAAACACAGAGAAGCACACACGCACACAAAGCACATATACACATACACACACATACACAAGAGAGGCACATATAAACTCACACACACACACACCCCAAGACACATAGTGACACAAATAGAAGCACACAGACTCATATACACATACACATACTCCCCCCCCTCGCTCTCTCACACACACACACACACACACACTCACTCAAACAGACACACTCATGATAAAAATATGTAAAACCCAGGGCAACTCCTCTTTTCTCAGGGCATTCTCTGTCTCACACTACCCGTCCCTCCCCATAGGCCTCCCCTGCATACTTAAAAGCTTTATGAATGAAGGGCATAGCTGTGTTTCATAGCTCTGGTGATTGAAAAAAAAAAAAGAAACGTAAATTCTTCTAAAATCAAAAGACATTAGCCTATGAGCATTTTATCTTGAGTAAGGAACCCTCTGCAAAAATGCGACAAGTTTGGTCATCTGTGCCCTTCTCCTTAAGACTGGAAATTCCAGTGTCTCTCTGCTGGGACTGCCACAATCTTGAGACACAATACAGGCCAACAAGGACAAGTTTGTGTCTATGG